TTAGCAGCTAATTGTAATTGGAACTTAAACCAATTCGATGTGAAGAATGCATTCCTTCATGGTGAACTTGAAGAAGAAATCTACATGGATGTACCTCCTGGGTTCCGTGAAAATACTACCACCAACACCATGTGCAAGTTAAAAAAAATTTATATAGGTTAAAGCAATCGCCACGAGCATGCTTTGGAAGATTCACTAAAGGAGTTGAAGTTGCCCACTCTAAGAAAGGAATTTTCATATCTCAACAGAAATACATTACTGATCTTCTGCAAGAAACTGGCAAGACAGCATGCAAGCCTACAAATACACCAGTTGATCCAAGTGTAAAGTTGAGAAATGTAGAAGAAGATATTGTGGTTGATAAGGAAATGTATCAGAGATTAATCGGAAAACTAATATACCTCTCACATACTAGACCTGATGTTGCTTTTGCTGTTAGCTTAGTCAACCAATTCATGCACCGACCAAAGGAGATTCACTTACAAGCTGCATTCCGAATTGTACAATATTTGAAAGGAACACCTAGTAGAGGAATTTAGTTTGAAAGAAATGGGAGTGTAGGTCTTGAAGCATATACTGATGCCGATTATGCAGGGTCAATTGTGGATAGGAGATCAACTACAGGTTATTGCACTTTCCTAGGTGGAAATCTTGTGACTTGGAAAAGTAAGAAACAAAATGTAGTATCGAGATCTAGTGCTGAAGTAGAGTTCAGGGCAATGGCACAAGGGATATGTGAACTAATATGGCTGAAACCAATATTAGAAGATCTGAGGATAAAGTGTGATGAACCAATAAGACTCTATTGTGATAATAAGTCGGCTATCAGTATAGCTCATAATCCAGTGCAACATGACAGAACTAAACATATTGAAGTTGATAGACACTTCATTAAAGAAAAATTAGATAGTGACCTTATTTGCATTCCATATGTGTCCTCCCAAGGCAACCTTGCAGATCTCTTGACAAAAGGGCCTAACAACAATAACTTTGAAAAAATTGTTTTCAAGTTGGGAATGATAGATATATATTCACCGGCTTGAGGGGGAATGTTATAAATAATTAATTAGTTTGTTATTTTTATTAGTAATTTAAGTTTGAATCTTTAGTAAGACCCATTAGGTCAGAATACTCTATTTAAAGAGATTGGCACTTGTATATTCTTAATAATAATATATCAAATTATTCAGCTTTGATTATATATATATATATATATATATATATATATATATATATATATATATATATATATATATATATATATATATATATATATATATATATATATATATATATATATATATATATATATATATATATATATATATATATATATATATATATATATATATATATATATATATATATATATATATATATATATATATATATATATATATATATATATATATATATATATATATATATATATATATATATATATATATATATATATATATATATATATATATATATATATATATATATATATATATATATATATATATATATATATATATATATATATATATATATATATATATATATATATATATATATATATATATATATATATATATATATATATATATATATATATATATATATATATATATATATATATATATATATATATATATATATATATATATATATATATATATATATATATATATATATATATATATATATATATATATATATATATATATATATATATATATATATATATATATATATATATATCACCTTCATTCTTCCATATCCTACCGAAAAACAAAAAATGTTGTAATAAACCACCAAAGACTTTTTAAGCCGCTTGAATAAATCCCGGAGATTATGGATATTTCAAAAAGATCTCTGACTCTATTAAATTTTAGTCATATGAATATATTAATCCTGCGATAGTAATGTAAGAACTAAATTGGTAGTATGTGGTTAAATAGTCAGACCAAATTGATACTAAGTGGTTAAAATAGAGACCAAATTGATACTAAGTGGTTAAAATATAGACATCAACTTGACACTTTAATAAATTCAGGGACCTTTTTTGAAGTATTCATAATCTCAGGGACTTATTCAAGAGCGTCCTACAAACTCAGACTAATTTGGTGGTTTACTCATTATTTTTAAAAGCTTTTACTGTTCTCTGTTTTAGGAAATAATTTGGACAGTTGTTCATTACTATATTTGACAATTTTATGTCCAAATGATGATTCCAGGTGCAATCAATGTCAACTGAAACATTAACTGCTGCTGTCAATGATATCAGTTCAGTTGTCAGCATGAGTGATAGGATAGCAGGATCAGCTCCCGGGAATGGATCCAGAGCAGCTATTGGCGAGGATTTGGTTTCCATGACTAATTGTCGTCTTCAGGCTAGAAATTTTATCACTCAAGATGGTACTAATGGAATCAGGAAGATAAAGCGCTATACCAGTGCTAGACCTTTGAATGTTAAGTCATCTGCTGTGCCTGTGAGCAAGAATGACAGTATAAAGCAGTCTCCTTCAGAGGCTTCTCAGCAGGAGGAGTCAACGGCAACAACCAATTTCAAGAAACCAAAGGCCGAGGTTACTAAATTATATGTTTTTAACTGTTACATTTTATTTTATAATTAATATAACATTATCTTTACTGTCTGTGATCTTTGTTCATTGGCTGGATATTGTCAATTATATGGGTTTGAATAGATGCACTCACTCTTTCTGGAGACTTATTAAAACATAGTTAGTTAGAGTGTGATGATTTTAATACACTTGTATTATCTGATGCTTTGATTTTTTGGCTCTGATATGGGACTTTATGTGAATGAGTGGCAGGCTACTCACGTCCTTTTGGAAGAAATACAGCAAATTAATCGCAGACTTATTGACACAGTAGTAGAAATAAGTAACAGAGATGTTGATCCAACTGCAGCTGCTGTTGCTGCCGCTGAAGGGACAGAAGGGACCGTTGTCAAATGTTCTTTCATTCCTGTGGCTCTCAGCCCATCTTTAAAATCTCATTATGCTTCACTGCAGGTGTGGACTCTCATGTTTAACAATTAAAACAAATTTTAAACCTTTTAAATTGTTATTTGTTTTATTATTCTTATGTGTGATTTATATCACTTTACAGTACCCTATTCAGCCTCTGCGCTTACTGGTTCCTCCAAATTATCCTAATTCTTCTCCCATATTCCTTGACAAGTTTCCAGTTGAATCACGGTGAGATATGAAATATTTTAGTCCCTTCATCTTTAACTTGCTAATTTTGGATCTAAAATATTTTGGATTTTCTCTTCCAAATATTGGTAATCTACACCGTGCATGTATCAATTCGCAACCTTATCTTAAATATGCCAAGAAATGTTTCTAATGCAAAATGTTATTCTTTATATTATTATGACAGGACCGGGAATGAAGATCTTTCAGAGAAAGCGAAATCAAAGTTTAGCATGTCCTTACGTAATTTTTCACAACCGATGTCCCTTAAAGATATAGTGAAGACTTGGGATGTTTCGGCTCGCGGTGTTGTTTCTGAATATGCACAACAATTTGGTGGAGGAACATTCAGCTCAAAGTATGGATCGTGGAAAGATATCTTGACTGCATAACATTATCACGCTTCTTGTGCAGACCTGACATTGTTTTGGCCTAGGAAGTTTCGAACATTATGTTATATATTTGAACATTATGTTATATATTTAAACCGAGCTGTTATTTATTGCTTGTAGATAAAAATGGGTTAGAATCCTCTCCATTTCTTAAATGAAATGGCGGTGGGTTCCCTTTATAAAAAAATTGTTTATTATTTTTGTATTCATTCTTGTGTCTCTCTTCAAGTGGAGTCATTCATTTCTGGAGTAATGGATATGATTCCAACTTATTAAGTAGCATAACATGAAAATGTGGTTATGGTTGGCATATTTTTGATTAATTGTAAAGCTCTATTAGATGAATTTACATATTTTAAACCTATTGATATTGCCATGTGAAGAAAAAAAGTAACTTCAGGTAGTACTAAATGCTAGACTAAGATAATTACAAGAAAGGACATAAATGGGGTCCTCAGTGTTCAATTTTTCTGAACAAATTGCATAAGTGCTAAAAATAATAACTCACAAATCTGAATCTATGGTCACCACTTTGAAATAAATAAATGGACGTCAGTGTCAGTTGTCACATATGTGGGGCAAGGGGTAGTTTCGTCCTTTCCCTTCTTTTGCATGTTGAGTGTGAGTAACCAAATTCCTCCACCATTTTGAATAGCGTTCTCAAATAGGTTTCTTGTATTTCAAATGGTTTTAAAATATTTTTTTATTACTGTAAAATTTTATTTATTTATATTATTATTATTATTTTAAAATAGTGACAAATTTGATAGTAATTTAAAATTTTATATTAATCAATTGTTTATTGAGATAAAGTTCCATTCAAGAATTCAAAAACAAGAATATGAAGGTAAGACATAATAATTTAATTATAAATATACTTTTGTCAATGTATATATTGTCAAAATAAGCATAACATATTACAAATTTGGACTTCAAATTTGCTACAAAGAACAAAACAATAATGACCTATCTTAATCCATTCTCTCCCCACAATTACGCTAATCTAATCCAAATTTCACCTATTCAAACCTAAAAGTCACAAACATTCAAAAGCAAAAGTAGTCAAACATCATTACTCATACAGACAAGTGCTAAAGTTACCCATCCACATGATTCACACCACTAATGAATAAAAAAAAAGAATAAAAAGTAAAAAAGCACATTCAAAATGGTGGAAGAACCCTAAAAAATCCATCTCTCACCAAATAGTATATTACATGTTTGAAAACACGTCGAATTCGCATTATCAAACACGTTACGGTAAAAGCTCTATGTTAGATCAAACCTAACTTAGAGCTTTTGATCTCCGTTAAATAACTGTGACTATCTGTCATAGTTTCGAACACCCGATTAAAATTTGAGGTTGAAATGATAAGAATTATAAATAAAAAATAAAAAAAAATTAATTTGGCTTTAGATCTTGAAACATAGCATCCCACCTGATATCTTCAACAGCAGAAGACCAATAACCATTATTATCATCATCTTCTCCTTTCATCTTTCCTTCATGAAAATGATAAACCATAGGAGTACTAGAAAAACTATCAAGAGCAAAACCAGGCATCATTGTAGGACTAGGACTTCCATTTGTAAGCAGTAACCTCTCTTGTTTCTCCACTTTCATCTTCTTATTACTCCTCTTCAAAGAACTACTCTTCCATGATGATCTTGTTCCATAATAAGCACTATTACTAGGTCTTGATGTTGGAACAACAACGAGTGCTGAATTTGATTCCTCACATGTAACCAATTTTCTCATGATGTAATCTTCTAAGCACTTTTTTGTCTTTTTGATTGCTACAATGATCTTTGCAACTGGTCTTGGTGGTTGTCTCTTTGACTTTTCTTTTCTTGCATGTTTGAGAATTTCTAGCCTGTGTTTGGCTATGGAGATTCCCATGCTTTGGAGAAACTCATGGTTGAAGTAAACTATGTCTTCTTGTTCTAGCTCATTGTGGGAAAAAGTGAGGCCATACTCATATACAAGAGATGGATCAAGATTTGTTTTTGAAAGCCATGAGAACCAATCCATGGTTTCTAAGTTGGAAAAAATGAGTGTGCTATGTGTGGTATAGTATGTATGATTTTTAACTTGAAGAGGGGTGTATATATAAAAGGTTAAAAAGAGGGTTAGGGTTGGTAAAGTGAAACAAAAAATAAACTAGTTAAAAACTAGTGATATAGACTTTGTGGGACCCAAATTCAAAATATTATACTATTCAATAATAAAATTTTATTTTTAACATTTTTTTTAATCTTATATTCTTAAGACACAAATTAGCCAAATTCATTTTATTTTAAATATATTTTATTTTATTTATTTTTAAATATAAACCGTCAATTTAAAATTAAAATTGTTCAATGTTAATCGTGTGGTTTTGATGTAGATTCCTTAATGATGAAGTCACAAGATATTGAGACTAAACAATAAATCTAAATCTAACCCTATTATAAGTTGTTGGATCTTTATTAAACTTAACAAATGAAACAATATTTTTTGCAGTTGATTTTTTTCTACTGTCATGTTGTTGGAGCGTTTAATTCTTATCTAATGGTTCAAAATAATGCATGATTAATATTTAATTAAAATTATTGAATCTAAATCGAACGATTTATAATCTTTAAGAGGGTGACCGCGTTCGATTTTTTCACTCCAAATCATGATCCCTCCACGTGTACAAATAAATGAGAACTATGACTCCATGTGTACAAATAATACAAACCCTACTTTATGAGGTAGGTAATTGACTATACATGCTTTTGAAAAATTAGTTATTAGTTGAACCTTGAGAGTGACTAAAGAAAAAGAAAGCAAAGGGATGTGTGTGGGGTATGTAACCCATGTTCTTGTTCCCTCCAAAACTAGTCATGGTATGTTATGATCAAACTTTGAGGAGTGTGAGTGAGACCTAAGAATTCCATGTGAAAATGTAATCTCCCACTCCCTACCATCAATCACGGTTATAGAAAATGTGCTTCTTTATGGTCCCACCCACTACTTTTTTTGGTGCAAGTAGTTGAGAGTAGAAGTAGAAAAATACAAGAGTTAAAACATAGAATATGGCAACAACACATTGAGACTTTGATGGGTCTTTGTTTAAAACAAAAGCAAGGGCTTTCATTCTTATGTTGTGAAACTTGTCCTAAGTATGACACTTTGTTATGTTCATTTGATAGGTCTTTGTTTGTTGCACTTTCCTTAGGCTTTAGAGTACAATTTACTCAACTTATTACTCATTGAGTCCTATTTGAGGTAAATAATAAGAGGGGGAAAGAAGCTAAAGAGGAAAAAAATAATTATTTTGATGGATTAAGGAAGTACTAACAATTATGAATTCATTAATTAATCTTTACCCTAACAATTATTTAGGTTTAGGATTAAACAACAATGGATCACATTTGTAAGTGGTCCACAATGGATGAATTTTAAAATGAATAAAATTATAAGATTAAAGTTTCATATCTTAAATATTAATAAATTAAATATCCTAAAATTTTACAGTATAAGATGAATAAATGATATGTGGCGGAATTAGAGATTAAGTATCATCCGTGTACAGTTATATAGATTAATTTTACGAATTAAAGAAGATGATAATGAGTGGTAAAATTCTTCTTAAAAAAATTTAACACGAATTCTCTGACATAAATAAAATGTCTATTTTATTTATGTTTAATTCAGTTCAAAATGTGTTAAAAATCTCACATCGGACAATATATGACATAAACATGTATTTGTAAGGTTGAGTTAGGCCCAACCACGTTTTTTAACAAAAATACTTTTTTTTTTTTACTTTTTTTATTGAATAAATATCTAATAAATCACTGTCTGAATCATTAAATAAATATGATCATTAAAATTGTACGCGATCAATAACTTTTGTTTTTAACATACATAAATTTCAAAAAGCATTGAAATTTTACATTTATCCATATATGATTGAAAATGCACATGGATTAATTATTTAATGAAGGTTTAGATTTCACAACACTCCATTAGGTTGTTGAACTTGCTGTTTATGAAAGCAATCAGTTTTTCAGCTTTATATCTATCTGGTTCGGACGACAAACCACTATATAATATTATGAAAATCAACATAATAAATTGAAAGTCTTTTTTTTTAATTTTTATTTATTTATGAAAGTTTAAGTGAAGGCAATGTAAAATATTGATATAGTACTCTTTCATTTTTTTATTATAAGTAAAATCAACTAATTTGATGTACTTAGCAAAGAAAAAAAAATATATAAACAAATAAACATAGTATAAGGGTACCCTCCTATACAATAAAAAATGGAGTTCAAAAGAAACAACCATCAAAGGAAATGAATTTGTTGTTCCTATATCTTGAGACAAATTAATGAATAAGTTCCTTGCATATGATTTTGCAAAAGTGTGTCCAATATTTGTCGACATGATAATTTGAGATTGATCCTTTATTTGCTTTCAAAAAAACTATGAAGATGTAAAAATTGATTGCAACACGTATTTTCTTACAATTTGATAGTTTTTAATACATTAGTAGTAAGAGATCCGTACGCATAACACATAAAAAAGAATATATAATTTAATAGTATTTTACTTGTTAAAAAATATAATATTTATGCATTTATTTTATTTTTAAACTATTTATATTATTGTAATGAGATACTTGATGTATAAATTTTAAAATTGAAAGAATAGGTGTTTTATTTAAAATTTATTCTAAAAATAATTGAATATATAATATTTGTATCAATTGAATATTTAAAAAAAAGTTTGTAGTTATTAGTATTAGAACACACAGTTTGAGACAGCCTATGTCCCATTAGTGGAATTCTAATGAAACCTTATAAAAATACAGAAAAATTTGAAATTTTTAAAGGACAATACTTAATTATTTAAAAACATACTGTTTCACATACATATGCTTCAAATATATTTTACAGAGTTTGACACCGTTAAGACTAGCGGCCTTGCCACATAGATAAAACATAAAATAAAAGTACAGAAAGGAAACCAAAAAGAAAGCATACCAAAAGGGACCTCCTAAGTCCAACAAGACTGACACTTATACTGACTGTAGTAGTAGGGATGTGATTAGCGTTTGACAAAACACTAACAGCTCCCAATCTAGATGTTATAGTAACACATCTCCACGTCACTTCATATCCTTTCCTTCTGAGTTGTCGGGAAGTACGCAAGATTCGAGCTCATCGTCTGATCGTCATAAAATAATCCAAAATGCAAAACAAAAATGACACAGGGCTAAGATTCATGTACAAGTTTAAAAGTGGGAATGAATGTGTAAAATAATAATATATATGGAAACCATATTTATACAAACAAGCGTATCTTATACCCACAATTACATATACTTTATTTATTCTAATGCATCCCTGAACTATATGCTGACTCAGGCCACTAAACGCTGTCAATGATATCTATCCCATTTACCAAGATCAGATATCACTAGACCACATGCCACCAACGTACTCCCAATTACCAAGAGCTACGCCACCTAACTTCACATGGAGCCTAGGTGTTATAAGTCGATCGTCCCTGAGAATTCAGGCCAAGAACCTTGTCTTGCCTAGCATGCATAGATAATAATCCCCGTCGGGATTGCAGGCGACTGATCAACCTCGTGCGTCCCATACCGCACGGCGGTGGACTTACACATTCCTTAATGCAAGTCTATATGATCACTCACTCATCTTGTGGCAACTCTTAGCCATAAGTATTAAGTTAATAATGGGGAATTATCGTATCAACTTTTCAAGTTATACTTATTATCTAGATACTTAGGTTGAGTACCAAATCCATCCAATGTCTTGCCATATTTGATCTTTGTCCTTACATAATAAGTTCAGTTTGTATAATGGGTAATTGTATGGTTAACTTCCCAGGTAAGAGAGGTGGACTGTAAACGGCATAGTCGACCAAGTCTTTCCTTAGCCAGAACCCAACCAAATATAACTACTCATTGTATCCAACTTTCCTTATGTTAATGGGGATCAATTACTTAATATCTAGCAATGTTTTTCTCTCATTAACCGATTATTTCCTTAATCTATCAATCACAATCATTCAAGTATAAATAAAATAAACAATTATAAAATTAACCGAATAATGCAAGCACAATACAATACCAAATTGTCAAAGATTATTCCTATGATAATTAATTAAGGCCGGCGTAACCTCGCCTAGTGATTTGTGAAAATCATTATTTGAGAATAGGCTCTCCTTAATTATTTATCGCTAGTAGGGCTTAGGTCACCACTACACACATATATATTAAGTTATTTTACGCTAACCGTCCCAATCGTATACGAAATCTTGCCCCCACCTTTTGTTGAGTGTTGTTGAAAGTCCACAAGTGTTGTCTTCGATCTTTGCCAAGAACCTAATTTACGATAACCGTTGGATTGTACGAAATTTATGAAATAATTAGAATATAATTTATGGTTAATTGAACATAATCCCGTTATAACTTGAAATATTTATTTATTTAAATATATCATAATAACCTCCAAAATAATTATTAAATTCAAATATAAATTATATTATACCTCCTTTTGAATTTGTTTGTTTTAGAAAATTGTCAAGAGTATATTTCTAATAACATTTAAATTATAATAAAATTTGGGCATTATAACGACTTAAAATGGTAAAATTTATTTTGGACTTTATAAGTTCAATATATCGACGTCTGAACGGAATTTGCATAGAAAATTTAAAATAACCTTTATATAAATAACATAATTAAAATAATATAATTAAAATAAAATGGACATTATAACGGCTTACCGATTACTTATGAAAATGATTTGGGCAGAACTTTGACGTATAAAACTCCCTTGAAACTTTAGAAGAACTTTTACCACAAAATACTCTAAAGGTTACGAACCGATATCGTGGGAACTTCGATAACTAAAACTAATATTGCTATATGAAGAAATTAGAGAAGGAAAGAAGTAAAGAAGTAAGAAAGATGATTTGTGAATGAATGAATGAAAATGGGGTGGAAGAGACCCCTATTTATACTAGTT